AGTACACATGTTTATGTAGAGGAGAGAGGAAAAAGTGGATTTTGCATAATAGGTGACTTTTTAAGAGACATTTCTGAGTTTCAACTTCAGCAAACATCTTCCAGATACTATACAGGCTTCCAATAGGAAGCTAAAAGTATAGATGACTCGTCACAGAAAAAACTCACACATAGCACGGTGGAACAGCTATGCGATGCTTGTTCAAAAACAAGGGTGCATCTAGCATTGGTTTCGCCTGTTGGCCAACACCGAAACCCTTGTTAAACCAGGGAGGTGGAATCAATCTTAAATGTTGTCTTCAAACTGCAACTGACAAATCCTACTCATTGTTCCTTTACCAATTTTACAATCTCATTTCCCATCTTATCAGGGGATTCTTCTATAATGAGTTTATTGGTGTTACGTCACAAATTAGAGAGCAACACAGACGTCTTTGTGTTCCTCCTGGCTCTGCAGGGAGACATTTTTTAGCGTTAAATTATAGTCCACACTGTCCTCAACCGCAGCAACTGCAATAAAAACAGAAATGTGTGAAATTTGTTCATAACATTTTTTTATAGCTACTATGGTTTTATGAAAATAGAAAGAAGCTGGACTCGAGAAAGGTCTTTGTTTTCTTTGAGGCGATTTTCATTTTTACTTTTACTCGTGCAAGCAGTCAGTAAGCATCAAGAGGAAGTCAGCTTCAGACAGACGGTGCATGCTGGAGCTCATGTGGCGGGACAGAGAGTGGAGGTAGGTTAAGTCAGGGTGGGGTTAGAAACACACTAACACGCTCCATGTAACAAACAAACATCCCTCACAGCCATCTAGCCAGGGTGTGTAAGCCACTATGAGCTGGATCAGCTTCTCTTGGAAACCATTTGTAAACATTTCTGTCCACAAATATGCAGTTTGTCCCCAGCACTGTTAGGGTAGAGAAGTGAAGCCTGATGCTAACTCTCTCCCACGTGTTTCTTTATAGATTGACATCCTGATCAAAGATGCAATTGGCAGGCAACACCAGTGTGCCACGATCCAGTTAGACTTCCAGCTGCCCATCAGATTTGACCTTCAGTATGTCGGGTGAGTCGGTTATAAATGTCTGCATTTGGCTCTTAACCTCTTAAACATTCCTACATCTGTAGTGATTTAAACCTGCACATGATATCTTTAGCTTTTTTTTTTTTATGAACCCACATGCTTACTGTGGTGTCCTGTAATTGTGAAGGTTAATATGGCAGATTCATCGGGATCTAATTGAATTATGAAAGATGAGTCCTATTTGAATTTATCACTTTTCATTGCCAACGTGCTCCCTGTTTCTGCCTTAGACCTCTTTTTGCCTCTTATCAGTCTGCTCCACTTCCCTTACAGTTTCCATATATCTATATATATATCTATATATATCCTTTTGGTGTTTATCATGAAATATGGTATTAGACATTGCTAAATTGACATTTGTAAAGATACGATAGAGTAACTTTTATAAACTATTTATGCATTAAATAACCAAATGGGAATGTCTGACTTTGCTTACTCCAGCATATTAAAAGGTGCCCTATTTATTTTAACATCAAAGTTATGATCTATTGCTTTTACTTTTTGATTAACCTTTCTTGTTTTTTTTACAAATCCTAATATTGCCATGAACGTCATTCTTTCTTGATTTGAATGTATTTCTTTACCACCTCTGTAGTACGGACGGACAGTTGCACATTCCGGTGATGATCCACAGAGCAGTGCTGGGATCTCTGGAGAGGATGATCGCTATACTGGCTGAAAACTTTGGAGGGAGATGGTGAGAAGACGTTAATAATAACATGGGCTCATATTCATTATATAAGTATTTAAGTGTATCTTCACTGTTACCAATTACCTCTCTCCTCCCCAGGCCCCTGTGGTTGTCCCCAGCGCAGGTTATGGTGATTCCTGTAGGGGGCAACAGTGAGTCGTACAGCAAACAGGTACGTTTATTTTGAAGATTTATTTCTGGTACCCAGTGTACTTCCTCTCTGACTTTTATTTGTTTCTGTCATTATTAATTCACTTGTTGATGTGAGTACAGATTCAATCTTTAAAGATGTGCCTCTCCTCTATTAAGGTGGTCCGGCAGCTCCGTGAAGCTGGCTTCATGGCTGACCTCAATGACGATCAGGGAGCCACCTTAAACAAGAAGATCCGCTCTGCTCAGCTGGCCCAGTACAACTACATATTTGGTAAAGATCAGAAAAATAATGAAAACTATGGCTATTATCTTTAACTAAAGCTCCCTTCTAATCTATACAGATCTTAACATTACTGATAATGACTACTGAACATTATTTGTGTGCTTTTGTCTAGTGTTGGGGGATAAGGAGAGTGAGAGTGGGACAGTGAATGTGAGGAGCAGGGGCGGTAAGCAGCTCGGGAGGAGGCCGACAGAGGACGTGCTGACAGCCCTCACACAGCTACGAGACTCCCGGAGCAACCTAGAAGACTTTTGAGGAAAACACCCTTTCAATAAGATGTCACTGATGAAATAAATGTTTGTTTTACATGTTCAAGCTGTTGCTGTTATACATTGGCTCTATCTGAGGAGTCGGCTGCCAACATTTGTAATAAAAGTTTATAAAAGCTTTCTCACTCGTTGATTGGTCCATTAATGGCCTCCTCTGGCAAGTCTGTGATGTATTTTAAGATCACTATCAGTCTACTATCAGCATTACTCTGCTAAAGTTGCAATTTGTTCACTAAAGGTCGTAAAATATGTATACCTCCCACTTATGTAAGTATGTGTCATGATGTCAGAATAGAAAACCAGGCAGACCTTTTAAAAGAGAGGGAGGATACGGAGGGGGATTTGACTAAAATAGGAGAAGGAGCAGCAGCAGTGTCAGGGCTGTGTGTTTTCATCTGTGTTTAGTGGAAACAGCCAAGTCAAGGTAAAGGTCAGAAAAATGTGAAGTTTTTCCTTTTTAATTGAGAGAGGGCAGCAGAATGGAAAATACATCAGTCACAACAATGACACGAGAGAGAGAGGGAGGCGTCAGCTAACAGACTGGACAAAAGCAGTCTCTTCAACAAAGCTGGTTGTGAAACAGGTGAAGTGGATTGTGAGTTTAGTTCTTCTGGAGGTCATTTAGTGTGGAAAGGTGAAGCAGGTTCATGATGAAGCATCCGCTCTAAGTCATACCCAGGTCACCTCAGATAGAAAGAAGGTCCTAAACACGCTTAGATCAAACTAAAACAAAAGAATGACCGTGCTTTGAACTCTACAGATGTAATCATTGGACCGTGTTATTTCTCTGAAGAATGGAGCTCGTAAGAAATGCTACCAAATCCTCTTATTTCTTCATAGGCTGCTGCTAGTACTGTTAATTATTGGAATCACAGGAGACATGAGGCTCAACAGTGATAGTCAATAAAAAAAAAACCTACTTATTGAGGCATGTTGACATTTTTGGTTCTAGGGCTCAGTTTTTGACTTGTCTAGCTGAGCTTTCTGCTGTTACCCTCATTTATTGGAGGTGAATTTAATTTGTGATTTGTTGTGCTCACTGTAAAAAGACTAGGAACATCTACATCCATGCGAGCAGCTCAGACTCTACTAACACAACTGTGCTGCTAGCTAACATGCAACAAAACGTTCCACTATCTTAGTTAAGGACATTAGTGGATGCATGCAAATATTTGCTAATTGTCACTTAACGCAAAATAGCTTAGGCTGATCGTAATGCTATTAGTTCTGCAGGAATTTGGATATAAACCAAGAAGTGAAGTGATGTTTTGATCGGCCATACAAATCAGGAGAGTTTAAAATTGTTAGAATTAAACCTGAAGGGAAGTCGAATGTCTGTACCAAATTAAGTAATAATCCATTGAGATGTTTCACTCAATAATTTAATAATACTAGCGCATGCAGGCACAACCAAAAATGGCCTTATACCACAAGGGATAGAAAAAAAAATGTTTTGGGAATTTGGGTGCATTGACCCTTTAAGACTAAACAAACTAAGGTCTTTCTCTCTGATTCTGTATATTCTCGATATCATACCATGTTAGTATTTATAGTACTGCGTGTTGTTAGCCTGTGCTCTCACTCTGCTGTCGGCTTTGTGCTAAATGAGAAGATAAAACCCAGCTCAGCCACCAGCCAACATTGCACAGTAGTTGCGTAGTGATGACACACACCATTAGCTCCGGTAAACACTGAAATCTTTGCCTAATAGATAACAATATCAGGCTCCCTTCTTACATCCCCTCTGCTCTCACCCTCTATCGGTGTACACACAGACACACACACACACACATCACATCACACAGCAATCCTTCATTCAACATAAGGAGTCGCAGAGTTCATAGGAAGTTATATTTAAACAGGTTTACCGCAAAAGAAGGCAGCTTTGGGGGCAGTAAGGAAAACAGCTTTTTACTACAATATACAAAGACAATACAGAAAATTCATTCTGGGAAACAAAGATGGATATATATTTCAGTGTTATATGTGAGGTCCTCATGGGAAAACCATAAAGATCTGTCCATCTCCCTAAGAGTTTAAAGCCTTGAAAAAGTATTTCCTCAATAAGCTTGAGTGATGGAGTTTCAAATGTGCACACTATTTTCGGCTGCTTTGGTTATTTCACATGAGAACTTACTGTATTCCCTTTCTCTCTCTCTAGTATTTTTTACCGGGAACAATTGATGGCACATACTTCCATGCACCAATCAGGATTAAGCAACATTTGAGTTGGATGGTTGTTTGGTTGCTGTCAATCAGGGCTGCGAGTAGAGATTATTTTTATAATTGAATATCGGTCCATTCTTCTAGTTTAATAATCAGAAAAATAATCTGTGTCGTGTGTATTTCCCAAATCTTAAAGTAGGGTCAAATGTTGTGTTTAGACAGTTGAAAGCCCAAATATATTCTATATACTATCAGTAATGACAAAGAAAGACATTAAATCCTCAAATTTCAGAATCTGGAATAGTTGATGTTTGTGCTTAAAAATAACAAATGAAGATTACTTAATCCTCAAACAGTTGCGGATTTATTGTTTGCATATTAATTTATGAATATCAGTGTTTTAGAGAATACTTTACATTTTAAGCAACATTTTTTGGGGGCTTTTGGGGTTTTAGTGTTTTGCACCACTAAGCTGGAGGTTAGAGAAACCATTTCCTAATTGAGAAGCATTTTAGGAGCCCAGCAGGCTTGTAAAGTGACAGATGTTGAGTTGACCGTTGTCCTAAAATTCCAGTTTTCCTGGAGGCAGGCAGGATCACAGTGACCCAGGCCGGGAGGCAGAGCCCGACAGGAAGATAAACAGGCAGCTCTGTATTGTTCTCCTGGTATCACTGAGAAACTGTCAGCCTGACTGATTGAAGGCTGAACCTCCCAAAATAGGCTCTGTGAGGCCGGCCTGCCTCTCCCTTCCACCCCGTTATAAATAACCCCTGTGTGTTTGTGTGTATGCGCGTGTGTGTGTTCATGCATTTTATGTGTGTGTGTGTTATAGATTAGGGGCAAGAAAGAAAGAAAGAGAGTGTGAGCGAGAGAGAGAGAAATGTGATCAGTGCCAAGACCTTAGAAAGTGAAGCCACTGAAAACAATAACAGGAGGTCTGGGGGGCTCAGAGCCAAACTGTGACAGGGACCCAGCGGTCAGGACCCTCGGCTGACCTCTTAACACACACACACACACACACACACACACACACACACACACACACACACACACACACACACACACACACACACACACACACACACACACTGATGTGGACTTATAATACACACCCCCTCCGTCAAATATCCAGGTTCAATGGCTTTGTGTGTTTGTTTGGATAGCGGCTTATAAATCACCACATGAGGAAATATTTATTGATCATTTGGAGTATTTACTTGGTTGAACAGGTGTGGCAGGGGAAATAGCACACGTATAACAAAACTACGTTGAATCATAGTATATGTATGGTCAATGGCTACATTTAGTTCAAGGGATAAGGTCTATTGTGAATTTTCTTTTGTACTGTTCCTCTGCAATATTCTGCTCTTGTCCCAGTATTATTTGCTCTCACTTGTACTGAAGTCATTATGGTTAATCTATGTCAAGTAATTGGGCATTCAATATGATCATGCTATTTCTCACTTGTTGCTCGTATCTATCTAAGTAACATTCATCTGTTATAAATGTTACTTTGTTCAGCAGTCTTTGTAAACGTGCCAACAGCCTCAAATGTGCTGCTGTGTTTATTCATACAAACTGAAACATACGCTAAATTTACTACCACTTGACATCTTTACTGCTTATTTCTCATCTGCTCCGATCGCTAACACCTGCCAGCTCTGAGCAAATCCATCTCGCTCTTTCTCGCTCACACAAAATCAGTGTAGACACCCTACAATGAAAGTATTTGACCACAATTTAGATACGTACTGGAAAATATATTTATGTATGTATTTTAGACACAAAAAAACACATACAATTGCAATACTTATTCCTCCCTCCATGATGCTTTCTGGGTTGAGCTTTGCACAACAGCAACTTCTCATTTATGGAGGATGTGGATCAGTTGATTGATCTCAGATGCAGAGCCATTACTAGCAGAAGCACGGTCTGGCCTTTTTCATTTTGAAAGAGCAACAGCAAAAAACACCTACCTAAACTGCTGGGTTGGAACTCGTTTGTTTGTTTGCAGAGCAGAGCAACCATCAAGCTAAATTCCTTCTTTTACATGTAAAACAGGGGAATAAAGTTGTCAGAATGCTTTCTTCTTCTTCGACCACAGACCCTCAGCCCACCCGCACTGCTTGGCCTTACAGCCTCAGCTCTCTTCCCCTCTTGCCAACTCCCTCTCCGTATCGCCTTTCCTTCCCTCTCACTGTTCAGGGTCCAGTAACTCAGCTCAGCACAGTCCCAACTCTCAGTTTATACAAGGAGTTTTTTGGGGTACGTTGCATCTTATTTGAACTGGCTGCTCTCTCAGCCCGTCAGACCGTCTCCGCTTTAATCCACCCGTGTGCACTTCACGCCTTTGATTTTGTCTATGCTTGCTCTTGGCTTTAGATTAATTTAGCAGTAATAGATGCTCACTGAGCTGGTGGTGACTGTGCCAGGCCGGGAAAGTCTCACACACAGATAGCTCATAACTCAGCACAGTAGTGTACAGTCTCGCCCTGGCCCTCGTCTGCTCCAAAGTATGTCTGCTATGCTCTGCTCTCATCAAAGTGGGATACCTAGAGAGAAGAGAGAGCAGACAGAGGCCAGAGAAAGAAAGTCTCTGTGTGAAAGAGGCATTTGGTTTATTGTTCTAGCCAACCTGTTGAATCGCTCTCAGGAGGGAGGAGTTAATGGGTTCAGGAGAGGGTCAGAGGTCATGTTGACTCTCATGCCTGTTTAGTAAGCGAGGAGAATAAACTAACCCCTCTTCAAATGTACAAATATTTACAGTTGCCTTTCTACCCCAGCTGCAACTCACTGTAAATTCTTACATTTTGTATGAGGGGGAGGAGAGGGAATGGCTCCGGAGGCAAGCATCAGTTTTGAATTTGCTAGAATGACTTTGTGCCAACCCATGTGAAAGACGCCCATGCTCTGATATCCCACACTGCTGCTTGTGTTTTAAATTTGACAGGACGC